CTGGAGGACCTTGGTGATTAGAGACTATGGTGGACACGCATAGACTCTGTTCATGTTGGACCAGCAGCTGTTGAACGCGTCCTGGCCTACGGTGGTTTTCTCCCGCTTCCATGGGATGCATCGAGGAACTTTGGCGTTCATTGCTGTTGCGAATAGGTCGATGTGGTGGTGACCCCACGTCGACTCGAGGTTTTGGAAGAATGGCTTGTCGATCGACCACTCCAGCTGCTTCGTCATCCTCCTGGACGGTGAATCTGCTGTATTGGACTGTGAGGGATCGTATGTCGTCTTGAGTCGTGTGCCCGTCACCATGCAGTGGTTCCATATCCTGGTCGTCAGGTCGTGCAGTGGTTGAGACGTCGTCCCGCCGAATTTGTTGATCTGGGCGATGGTCGTCATGTTGTCGCAAATAATCATGAATTGTCTCCCCGATCGTTTCTGGAAGGTGGACCAAGTGCCAAATGACCTGTAGTTCCTTCGAAGTGATGTGATGCGGTTGTTCCGATGCACTCTACGTCCTGGACATCTACTTGCCCTCGATCACAATCCCTCATGCATCTTCTGAGGGATAGGTGCACGCGTCGACCTCCGTCCTCTGAGGCAAGAATCCCTCACCGTTCCATTCCGACAGATGAGATCGTCACCAGCTGAGATTCTCCAGTGCCGCCGTGTCCAACGTAACTGGGTCCGTCCACTTGCATTTCTTGGCCAGTGTTGCATTCTGAACCTGGATCAGATTCCTCGTCTTCAGTCGAGCCGGAAAGACTGCCATCGTCATCGCGACCGCCTTCCCAATAAATGCCGCCAGCCGTCAAAGTTGGATGGTTCCTGCCCTGATCATCTTCTCCGCCTGCCTGCGAAGGTCGCGGACCTTTGGTCTTGGCACAGAGAGTGTCATGTCGGCGGTGTTGAACCTGAACCCAAGATGGTCGATACATTGGGTAGGGTCGAGTGTTGACTTGGCGTCCTTGATGAGAAAACCCAGTACTTCCAGTTGTTCCCGAACCAGACGAGTATGCTCCTTGGCCTCCTCCTTGGTCCTGGCTGCGATGGAGATGTCGTCGAGATATGCCGAGATCCTGATTCCCTTCTCACTCGCCCATTTGAGAATCGGACGGATGATCTTTGTGAAAATGAAGAGTGAAAGTGACAGTCCGAAAGGGAGGGTTCGGAACTGATATGATGCCGCTCCTCATCTGAAGCGGAGGTACTTGCGAGATGCCGGATGGACTGCCACGTACAGGAAGGCGTCGCTTAGGTCGATACTCGTAAGCCAGTCGCCGGGTTTGAGCATCCTGCAAATATTGGTGAGGGTCTCCATCTTGAACTTTGGTGCTGTCAAGAACTGGTCGAGTGGGCGTAGGTTCAACACTAGGCGTAAGTCTCCTGTTTTCTTGTGAATTGTGAAGATACGACTGTAAAATCCCTTCCCGCTGCAGCCTTCGATAGCTCTTTTTTGTAATAGGGAGCGGACCTCTGTATCAATGGCTGTACGCTCCTCCGGCAAGCGTCGTGGGCTGTGGATATGCGTACAGTGTTGAGGAGACCGAGTACCTTCTTGCCGAGATCCGACTGTTCGTCTCCGTCTTCAAGGACATCAAAAGCGAAAGTGTCGAAGAATCGGGTTGATTGAGCCAAAAATCCTTGGATCGATACCAAATTGTGTTCATATCGCTTAGCCGTATCTGTGAGGGTAACTTCGGAGTGCTGCAGAACCGGAGGAGGCTCATAATCCCATACCCTCGGTGTAGCGATAGTCGTTCCAGTTGAAAACGTTGTGGTTCTTGGGTAGTTCCGAGTCGAAGAACTTGGGTTCGCCAATGGCAGGGTAAACATCGATTAGGTCCTAGCGAAGCTTGATTAGGGCCGCCTGAGGGCTCCTATAGACCAGTCTGCCGTCCTGTCCAATGGATTTTGCTTCCAGTTGTTGCATCCTGTTTCGCTGCTGCTGTAAAAGGACCTTCTGCTGCAGCATAAAGACCTGTTGTTGCTGCATTTTCTCCTGAATAAGGCGAAGGGTCGTGTTCATGTCGTCATCGGGGGCCGTAGGATTGGGTGCATGGGATATCGAAGAGGATCGATCAGATATTCGGGGAGAGTATTCCGGCCGTGAAAAGAAAGACAGATATCAACAGATCGCCTAAAGTTCGTTTTTCATAAAAGAAGATAAAGACCCTGGCAAGGAAGAATAAGAGAAAAAAAATAAGATTAATTGAGTCCACAATCCATAGTGCTATACGTCACTCAACTAAAAGGTTGCATGATCCCGGATCCGAACCTGAGTTCGTCTTCGGGAACACGCTATAGACCGGAGCGTCTATCAGCGCGCCTTACCAATCAGTCATGACAACCTTTCGCACTAACCTTCAGATAACCCTTGAATTTAAACACTCAACCTTGCATCCTTGAGTGCCTCTAGCAATTCCAATCCACGGCCGTATGCCTTCTTTTTTATGACCAGAGGTTTGTCTTTACAAGGCACACATTCTATACTACGACAGACCATGCACTTTAGTATTGGAAAGGCATATGTTTCCTTGAGAACCTATTTTCCTCCCGTTTCTGTTTTTACATTGCATCCTAGAAAATGCCCAAAACACCCTTTTTTGAATAGAAATAAGAAGGAGAAAGGGCCTCGGGATGGCTGTACGATGCGATGTATGTCATGTCAAGAAAAGGGATCATAGAAGGGCAACTCGTAGCTATGTGTAAAAGGCGAAGGGTCGAGAATAGAAGGCGATGAGGTTGAGTTGGCAATAGCTAAAATGAAAAGAAAGAAAGATAGGGCTGATGCAAGTTGAAAATGGAGGGTCAAAGAAGAGACAATGAGGCGGGGGACAGAGAGGGAGGGAGTGAGGGAGGAAGAGAAATGGGGGATCGAAAGAAGGAGAGATAGACGATGGAGCAGAAAAGAAAAGCAAATGGCAACTCTCAGCTAATGACAGCAAACGCTGGTAGCGGAGGGTGAAGAAAAGCGTTTGATCTTTCCGACAATTATGTTTTGCTCAGAGAATGGTAGTAGTAAGAAACTTGGGCCGTGGATACAAAATGAAATACATATGTCCCTGTCACCTTCTTCATATCACCATTGTATGGTACTGTGGTATATGGCTGGTCGTGCCGTAAACACTGACAACCAGAGTAGACACTCGCGCCTCTCCGGCCATTGTTCCGTTGAATCGAGAATGAGAAGGTGAATGAGAGCAAAATTCAAAAGTAAGTGAATAAGGGGAGAGAAATGAAAATGCAAAAGGAAAGCAGGATGACTGTATAGAGAGCTGAGGAAGAAGTGAATGCAAAAGAGAATGAGAGAATGAGTGAAATAGTGTCGGTGGCGACGATGGAAGAAGAGACAAACAAGGAACAGTGTGGGAGTGGAGCAGTGAAATTGCTGTTGCCCTGAGAGAATAAAAAAAAGAGAGGGAGAAAAAAGAGAGTGAGATAGAGGTACCGACAAGAGAAGGGAAAAAAATAGAGAGAGGTATCGACAAGAGAAAGGGAAAAAAAGAAAAGAGAGAGAGATATATCGACAAGAGAAAGGGGAAAAAGAGAGAGACTAGGGAACGGAAAAAGAGACATAGGAAGAATAGTGCAGGAAGGAGAAAAGCAAAGGGCACACACACGCACACAACTCAGATACAATCGTCTATATTCATCCTTTCTCTTTTTCTTCACATAGTCCACGGTCAATGTCAATGTGGTTGGTTTGGCACGATGAACGATTCAGATGAGACTGTATTGTCGATCGCTGCAGCGATCGGTGAAGCAAAGAGTCCCACTACAAGGTGTATTAATACGTTTGTACCTATGTTACGATTGAATGGACACTAGATCTAATGGACACCCATGCACTAGTGCGAAAGGGCGCAATGGACAAGGAAAAGGTGTCTGCATTTGCGAGAGTGGTGTTAAGCAAAGGGTCGTAGGGGACTTTGTATTTTATTGAGTGGACTTCAAGAACGAGAAGGACAAATAGTGAGCAGATGGGGATGAGAAGCAAGAAAAGAGAGTTTGAGATGGTGCAGTTGGAATTGAACGATACTAGATCGGTGCGATGTAGGCTTACCGGTTCATATACTGCTGTTGTTGAACTTGCTGCTGCTGTTGAACTTGCTGCTGCTGTTGAACTTGCTGCTGCTGTGGAAGTTGCTGCTGCTGTGGAAGTTGCTGCTGCTGTGGAACGTGCTGAGTGGACGAGGGGAGAAAGTGAATGTAGTGTGGGAAGAAAAAGAGAGGGAGGTTTGAATAGCAGCAAGAAAAGAAACAGATAATGGTTATTATACAAGGACTGTACAAGTGCCCAGCACGGGGGGAAGGGGCGATGATGGTGACAAAACAGAGACAGTCTGTGAACGTTGAATGAGATACCCCGGGGTCAGGATAATAGACGGCACGTTCAACAGGAAGAGAAGATGTTCGAAGTTCTGCTGTCGGTAATATTCGCCGTGGCTCCGTGCCGGAGTGCTTTGAAAAAAGAGTGTTGTGAACAGACTTGTCGTTAAACACCACTAGTCCACTCCGCCAGCGCTTTTTTTTTTTTACTCATGCTGTTTTTAGTATCGATTCAATACATTCTTCTGCGCTCTTCTCGTCCTCTTGTCCGTGCTGCCTTCATACCACAGGAACATGTCGAACCAATTGCAGGATATCAGTCTATACAGCAATGCTGTAAAGGTCGGACCAGCAACTCATGCTATACCAAATCTCGGTATGTTTGGCGCTGATAAAGACAAGAAGCATTAAGCATTTGGGTCCGACGCTCTCATGACCCCACGTGACAGAATGCATATTGGGCGAAGCTCTGCTTTGTCTACCTGATTCAATGTTGAGATGCATGCACTTTTTGTTTTGTGAATGAGAGTGTTTCTGAACAGACATAAGGAAACGCCAGTTTTATGTGCCGTGTACACTGAGTATACTCTTTGTTTTGTTCCTGCTTGCTTTTTTTTTTTCACTCCTCTGCAGCCAGTCAAAAAATGAAATGGAGGCATAATTAATTAATGGGTATGAGGGAAGGGGTGCAGCATTCAAGAGACATGCACAAACATACAACATACAAACATATATTGTACGTGTAAAAGATGTTAGTCGACCAAGAGAAAAAGTAAGGAAAACATACTCGAGTAAGAATACACAGCAGCTCGAGTGGAGGCGCACTTGGAGAGAGGATGAAGGAGGGCTAGAGGCTGGATCGATGTTTGAAGGAGAGTGGACGAGAACAGAGGAGGAGGACGAGAACAGAGGAGGAGGACGAGAAGGAGGAGGAGGACGAGAAGGAGGAGGAGGACGAGAAGGAGGAGGAGGACGAGGACGAGGAGGAGGAGGAGGACGAGGAGGAGGAGGACGAGAAGGAGGAGGACGAGGAGGAGGAGGACGAGGAGGAGGACGAGAAGGAGGAGGACGAGGAGGAGGAGGACGAGGAGGAGGACAAGAAGGAGGAGGAGGACAAGAAGGAGGAGGAGGACAAGAAGGAGGAGGAGGCAAAAAAACAAGGTCAGTGGACTCGACAAGGGGATTGTTACGAAAAAGAAAAAGAAAACAAAAGATTACCGAGATGAACGCTAACCACTCCGCCATAGCAGCTGCGTCCTTATTATCTCAAGGCAATGAAGGTTGCACGGACGGTTTCGAACCCGCGGCCTGTTCGTCCCCGAGGACGCTAAGTAGAACACGTTTACTAAGCGTGGGCAGTTCTTTTAGCGCCGCTCCAACCAATTGAGCCATTGCAACCTCAGTTACTTATCCCTCGGAAAACTCTCAAATTTAAACACTCAACCCTGCATCTCTGAATGCCTCTAGCAACTCCAATCTACAGCTGTCTGCCCTCTTTTTATGACTAGAGGTTCGTCTTGACAAGGCACACATTCTGCACTATGACACACCATGCACTTTAGCTTTGGAAAGGCATATGTTTCCTTGAAAACATATTATCCTCTCGTTTCTGTTTTTACATTGCATCCTAGAAAATGGTCAAGACACCCTTTTTTGAATAGAAATATGGAGGAGAAAGGGCCTCGGGAAGGCTGCACGATGTATGTCAAGAAAATGGATCGTATAAGGACAACTCGTAGCTGTGTGTAAAAGGTGAAGGGTTGAGAATAGAAGGCGAAGAGGCTGAGTTGGCAACAGCTAAAATGAAACAAGAAAGAAAGAGTCGGTATAGGTATGGGAATTGGAGGGTCAAGAAAGAGACAGTAAGATGGAGGCAGAAAGGAGAGTAATGGAGGAACGAGAGAAAGAGAGATAGACGATGGAGCAGAAAAGAAATGGCAATTTTAACAACTCTAGAATAACAACAAAAAACGCTGGTGGCGGAGGGCCAAGAACAAGAACAAGGCGAATTAGCAGCGTTTGGTCTTTCCAACAATCATCTTTTGCTCTGAGAATGGTAGTAATAAGAGACTTGGGCCGTGGACACAATAAGAAACACGTATGCCTTTGCCGCTTTCTTCATAGCATCATTGTATGGTACTTTGAGGGGTGTGGTTGGCCTTGCTGTGAACACAGACAACCAGAGTAGACACTCGCACCTCTCCGGCCATTGTTCTGTTGATTCGAGAACGGGAAGGAGAGTGAGAGCGAGATTGAAAAGTAAGTGAATGGAGCGGAGGAGAGAGTGAAAAGACAAAAAGGGAAAAGGGATGACTGCTTAGAGAGCCGAAGGGACGTGAAAGAGGCTGCAAAAGAGAATGAGAGAATGAGTGAAGTAGCATCGGTAGCGACAACAGAAGAAGAGACAGACAAGGAGCAGTGTGAGAGTGAAGCAGTGAAATTGTTGTTGCCCAGAGAGAGAAGAAGAGAGAGCGAGGTATCGACAAGAGAAGGAAAAAAAAGAGAGAGAGGTATCGACAAGAAAAAGGGAAAAAAAAAGAGAGAGATATCGACAAGAGAAGGGGAAAAAAAAGAGAGAGAGAGAGGTATCGACAATAAAGTGCTCCCGACTTTTTTTTTTTTTTTTGGAAATGCTCATTCATCAATGTTCCGACCGGCCCCCAGATTCCTGTCATTCATTCTCTCGATTCGTAGCCTCATGCATTACCACTTGTTTCTTTTTGCATGGACCGACATTGGATCATCGTCGGAATCGAAATGCCTGAATTGAATGAATCGGTTAATTGGATTAATGCATCCCGATTTTCTTTTTCAACTTGTGCGGTCTTTTTAGTTTCTACCTAGCTTTAAACTTGAATGAGTTACGTGCTGAATCCTATAGGACCATCTTTCAAAAGTTGGAGCTCCTACCCAAAGTCTTTTGTATATGATCTATATGCCTGATTTTACAGGGGTTTAGCACGTGTTTAGCTGTTGTTTTATACCATAAGCTCAATGCACTTTCTACTGGAAAACTGAAAGCTGGCCCATGTAGAGGACATGGTGTGGGATCTGAAAGTTTTGAAAGTATGAAGCCAGCTACTCTGAATATATTGTAATATCTTGACAAGGTGTAACGTCATGCTAACTCCATGTAATAGTACCTACTTTAGTGATATCTCATGTTAACGATATGATAATCCCGTACCTTTTCTATATTAGTGATCCACACCTGGAGTGAAGTAGTGAAATTGTTGTTGCCCTGAGAGAATAAAAAAATAGGGGGATCGACAAGGAATGAGAAAGAGAGACAGGCAGAATAGTGAAAAAAAGCAAGGATCGCACATAGAGGTCAGATACAATTGTCTACATCCACCCTTTCGTTTTTCCTTCACATAGTCCGCAGTCAATGTGGTTAGCTTGGCACCACCAACGATTCAAGTAAAACTGTATTGTCGATGGCTGTAGCGATCGATGAAGCAAAGAGTTCCTCTACAAGGTGTATTGATACATTTGTTAGTATGCTACGATCGGATGGATACCCAGGCAACAGCACGAAAGGGCGCAAGGAGCAAGGCGAAAATGTCTGCATTTGCGAGAATGGTGTTTACCAAGGGTCCTAGGAGTCTTTGAATTTTAATGAGTAGATGTCAAGAACGAGAAGAACCAAGAGCAACCAAGTCAAGGAGCGAGAAGCAGGGAAAGAGAGGAAGAGATAATGGAGGTGGAGGCGAACGAGATATTAGTTTTGTGTAAGCATAACCAGCGAGCTGTTCCATCCGTGGGCAGAGACGGTAGCAGAAAAGGGTTGTCCAAGAAGCGTAATGGAAAAAGTAGTGAACAAGAGAATAGTTGCAAGCATGACCATTTTCGAACTTGAACATGTACTGTTGGTAAGAACATATATCTGCAGGAGATCAACACGGTTGCTGTTTTGAAGTGCATACCGTGATCAACTACAGAGTAGAAGTTGTTGGTATATGTGGTGGTGGTGTGATGGTGGTGGTGTGGCGAGGTGGCGTCAGAGTCCTATAAAAGAGTTGAAGGAAAGGAAGTGGGGAGAGGAAAGCGAACTGTAATGAATGAGGGATGACGAGGGGATAAAGTGAATGAAGTGCCTTGTCAAGGCATTTTTTTTTTTTTTTTTTGTACACAATTTTATTTCTCTAACAAACAGCATATAGAAGTTATTTGGAAGTAAAAGGGGACTACAGACCAAACTCTTCAGTGCACCATCCACCAGTCGCAGTCCGGTCCAGAACCTGGCTCTGCGCAACAATTGTCGCTGCTCTTCACAGCTTAAACGGAAGAAAATAAAACTAGATACGAATGAAGGGGATTCTTCCCATCCTCTCCATCATTGACAACCTCCTCCTTCCTAACAAACTCTCCAACAACCGCTCGTCAGCAGCGCGTGGGTCCTTGGTCGCTCCAGGGCACCTTCCTTCATCATGTGTGGCTAGCGAAGCGCCACACGGACAGAAACCATCGTGCGTGATGTAACCGTATCCTTGACTCCAGTCACCTCGGGGGCCTGTGTATTTGGATGTCTTGTTCTTGGCAGAGATACCCTGGGTCTGCTCCCATGCGATCGTCGCGGAGCACCGAGGTTTCCAGATCAGCTCCGAGGCCTGCGCTTCCAGGTAGCCAACAAACTTGTGAAGGACTGTCTTAGCGATGGACATTGGGGTCCGGAAGACCGCGGACCATCCAGTTAACATGCTCAAGGGGGTGATGCCGCGGAGGAGATCCGACACGTTCCACATCGGTTTCTCGTCTCGATCGAGAGCTGGACTACCGCTGTGCACGGCTCGAGCTCCACCGATGGAGGAAAATCCTCGTACATGATCCGCATCCGAAGGGGGCCACCAGTGTATGGGTACTGGCCTCGGTACCTGACGACCCCTGTCCACCGCGCGTTTGTATTCCCGCTTCCTGGCTGCGTTGTAGCTGTTTGTCGCCTGCACACCCCACTCATTAATCTTGCCCATGGCCTCCTTCCAGATCTCAGTGGTGGTCTCAGCTGCCGAAGGGCATTTCCAGACGTGATCGTTATCCTCCTTCTCGAGCTCGCATCGTCGGCATACGCATGTTGGGTACAGGTTGGGCTTGCGAGCCTGCATGGAGTTCAGAGTGGGCAGCATTCCATGCAGCTTTTTGATATGATGTGTGCGTTGGTGAGAGTCCTTGCTGTTGCTGTAAAAGGTGAAGACTGGATGTCTGTCGTGGACATACGCCAAGGTCGAGTTCCATTCCACGTCCTCGATGTCAGGGATCGCCCTCTTGACCCGTCTCTGTGATGTCCAGGCTTGATGGTCTTGTCAAGGCAAACCTCTGGTCATAAAACAAAAGGCAGACGGCTGTAGATTGGAGTTGATAGAGGTATTCAAAGATGCAGGGTTGAGTGTTTAAATTTGAGAGTTTTCCGGGGGATAAGTAACTGAGGTTGCAATGGCTTTATCGGTTAAGCCGCGCTGATAGACCTGCTAACGTCAACAGCGTGTTCCCGAATTCGAATCAGGTTCGAATCTGGGGTCGTGCAACCTCTTAGTTGAGTAACGTGTAGCACTGGAGCAGCAGTGTTGATTGTGGTCTCAATTAATCTTTTATTTTTTTCTCTTTTTCTGTAGTGCTTTTAAAACACATACACTAGCTAGTGAAAAGAATGGTGTATGGTCGGGTGTGTCAATGGGCAGAAAGAGAGGAATATTTTATTCTGCACTGGAGACGGGATATGCTTAACACAACCCACTCTGATAGCCACGTCATCGCTTTGGTGTACTTCTTCAAAGACCATCATTCACTATGCATTGCTTTCGTCGCGGTGGAGCCCAATACCGTTCCATGTTTGCCAAAGAGAAATGATCACTGGAGGCGGTGAAATGGCGGGGAGGATGGTCTTTGCCGCGAACCTGGGCTCACATTTCTTGATATTCACTTTTGTCGTTCCTGCTGCATATTATTCACTTATCTTATCCTTGTTACATCTCTTTGCACCACATTTCTATCTTGACATGTTTATTCTCGTTACACCTGTTTGCACATCTTGACAACCACCTTTCCTCTTTTTCCGTGCTTTCTTGTCTTGTCTCCTCAACGACACTCCAGGGACGAACTCGATCACTGAAAAAATCCTGGCATCATATTTGGAAACACTGCGAACAACATTGCCAGAGATATTAATCACCGGCTATTAATCCAGAACGAGGAGATCGATAGCTGACTTGATGATGTGGTTTCTTCACTTGCTACATCAATTCAAGCCGCTGTCGATGGATTGACAACCATTGTAACTCAACTATCGCATCAGCAACGTCAGCAGTCATCTCGAGCACAGAATAAAGCAATGCCACAAG